AGCCATCTGCCCTGGCAGGGAATTGGCTGGAATGATGCATTAGGTCCTCTCTGCTATTATCTCCCTTGCTCCATTTTTACAAGAAACTAAAGGAATTTTAAACCCCAGCAATAAATTTTGAAGGGAAAAACCCTGGCAGAGCAGAGCTTTTTTCCTATTTCTCTGCCATTAAGGTCTACCAACACCAGCAAATGAGAGCAGACACACAAGGCTTAGCCTGGGCTGGTGTTCCAGTGGGTTTTGTGTTATTTATTTATTTGAAATCTTATCAAAACTGTAATAAGGACTCCTCAGTGGCAGCTGTTAACAGCACAGGGGGAACCAGCCTGCTCCCACCTGCTCTTCCCCTGTGCAATTTATATCAAACTTCATCTCCAGCAAGCAGCAGGATCACAGAATTCCCTCTGATTGGAATTAAAGTGTCAGGGGTAATCTCCTGTCAGGGCTCCCTTGCGCCTCGTGCAGCTTTTGAGTGATTTAAAGTCACTTAAAATCCTCCTGGAGTTCCATAAATCGAGTGAGGCTCTGGCTTTGTGGTTGGCTGGGATATCCCTGCTCCAGAGCGTGGTTGGGAGCGCTGGAGGAAGGAGTTGGTGATGCTGGAGGATTATCCTGACTGTTGTGTTCTGTTTTTCCCTCCTGCACCCCTGGACCAGTGGCAGGCGCAGCTCCACCGTGAGGAAGCAGGTAATTCCCATTTCCCTCAGGAACGAGGCAGGGATGTGGTGTGGGAAGAGGAGGAATGATGGGTTCATTTTCCATGACAGAATTTCAAATTGCTTTTACTCTGTGTTTTGACAGAACTGTAAGCAAAAATCCCAAACAGCCTGGAGCTGTTTGGACAGTGGTGGGATTGGACCAGTGTTTTATGGGATCAATGCTGTTGTTTCTTTGTCTCCATTCCCTTTATATTCCCTGGAATCCCCCTGTTAAACCTGGAACTGCTCTCTTGTTGTGCCTTCCTGTAATAAAGATTTACAAAGCCAGGCTTTGTGTCCCTGGCCTTGGGGATAATCTGTTGATTTTTGGTACCCAAGTGAGCTAAAATGTGTTTCTTTGAGATAGGGAGGACCCAAATTATCTCTTGTTGATACTGTAAAGGTCAAAGTTTGGGAATTCCATTTCACACAGCCTTGGGAGTTTGGGAATAAAGAGAGCAAGTTGTGATCTTGGTGTGCAGAGTCAAACCTTTCTCATTTTTTATTCTTTATTTATTTTTTTATCCCTTCACTCTCCATCCTGCCTGCATCCTGTGACTCCTGTCTGGGCAGGATTCCTCCCAAGCCATTCCTCTGGTGGTGGAGAGCTGCATCCGCTTCATCAGCCGGCACGGTGAGTTCTGCTCTGGGCTGAGCCTGTCCCCTGCCATTCCTAGGAAATAAAAACCTCCCTAGAAAATAAAAACCTGCTAAAGAGCGGCTCAGGACGTGCTGAAGCTGCCACAGAAGGAAAATGGCTCTGATTTTTGTTTATTTTTGCCTGCACTGCGATGACTGCTCCCAATAACTGACCTTGCAAATGTGGTTTTGCCAACAATATCCCTTTATTCCCTGCAAAATAAGCTTCCCATCCATCCACATCCCTCGTTCCTCCCCTCCACTCACCTTCCTTTGAGCCCTGAAACGTGGCCTTCACCAGGAACAATCATCCTCTTCACCAGGAGGAGGGGGAACGCTCCGAGTGTTTGAATGCAGGAGGTCAAGCAGGGAATTAATTGCTCACTTACTGCCACAGAGAGATGATTTATGCCTCTTTGGAAGGTTGACCTCTCCCAGCCTTAAATGCTGTGCATTTATCGCAATTTGTTTTCATTTTTAATTGATATCATTTGTTAGTAGCGTGTGGAACAGCTGTTAATTAACACGTGTGGAAAGAGCTGGAATCTGTCTTTATTAACCAAGATGCAGGGCCAGCTTAGCAGGTCCTGTTTGTTTCCCTTGTTCCATTCCTATTTTAGAAACCAGAATCTGGAGTCCCATTCTCATCATCTTATTTTATTAGTATTATTATAATTATTATTAATTATATATGTTATTATATTGGAATAACCAAGTTCTATAATCCTCCTTTAAGGCCATACTTGGATATTTGCTGGAAAAATCCTTGAAACCACACAGAAATGGGAACTGATGGGGGATAAATCGTGGCCATCAGGAGATGCTGATTTCACTCAGATTCCAGAATTGGCTTCGATTTTCCAACAGACTCAACTGAGTCCTTCCTAAACGTTTTAAATGTTTTCCTCCTGGCATCGGTCGTATTTTACTCCTGGCTGCTCCACCGCTGGTTTATGACTTCCTCTGGGTTGTAAAATCCTCAGGGGATGCTCCAGGGTGAGAGATAACATGAATGGCTGTCAGAGCCCTGTTACTCCAACAGTTTAGAAGGGTTAATAATTTTCCTGCCTGTGCTGAGTCGTGTTTTTTCATATTCTGGACATGTCAGGGAAAGGTGGATTTTAAACCAGCATCCTTCTGCCTGTGTTCTTATTTTTCCTCGATTACAGGAGCTGCTGAAGGTGCCATCTTCTTTTATCTAATTTATCTTGTTTTCCCACAGGTCTGCAGCACGAAGGAATATTCAGAGTGTCTGGGTCGCAGGTTGAAGTCAACGACATCAAAAACGCATTTGAGAGAGGTAAGGATATATCCCAATATCCCAGAAATTACTGCCAAGTTTTGGGTTTGTGTGAACACTCACAACTGCTCACTCCTTTTTTGTTCCTGGGATTTTTGTGTCTCCTGATTGAGGCTCTCCCAAACACCTCCCTGCTGCTCATTAACCTTGAATTCTCAGCTGTTTGCTGTTGTGCTTTGTACCCCGTGGAGTGGCTGCATAATAAATATTCTGAATTCAATCTCCTCTCATGTCTGATAGCTTATTGATTGTTTGCAACACTAAAGGACGTAGAGAATTTCATTATTAGGTGTAACTGCAGTTTCCTCCCCTCTCCCCCAGCTCTTTGTGTGCTGGAGGATGAATTTCCATGGGTGTTTTTTTCACGTTGTTGAGGCACAGCTTGGCTACATTTATTCCAAATACCATCGAGGGAGGGAGGGGAATTTCAAGAGAGTGTTAATTCGAGGTAGCTTTTAATAGATTGGGTTTTTTCTCTGGGAAGAACAATTCCATAGCAAGGCAGGGAGCAGTTGGGAGCCTCCTGACTCATCAGCTCCTTGCTGGGCTGTTCTCCCTGGCAGAGCAGGTTCAGAGGAGCTGGGAACACTGGGGTCACTGGGAACAACAGGGCTTGTGTTAATCCCTGGAATCTGTGTTCCCAAAAGAATAGGATCAGTGTTTTCCTCTGCTTGCTGCTGCAGGAGAGGGGCAGTCATTAATTAGGCACAGCGAGTTGATTTTGCTTTTGGGGGTGAGAGAAGTTTAATGAGCGACGTGTGGTGGGTGATGTCACCTGTCCCCAGCTAGCTGAGAGGGAAAATCCTCAGGAGCAGAGGAGGCAGGAATGTGTGTCACAGTCAGGAAAAGCATCAGAATCAGATCTTCCTATGTAGAAATAACCAGCCTGGGGAAATACTCTCTTGTCCCACGCAGAAATAAGAAAGAGGATTATTTTTCTCCTTTCATCTCACTTGTCTCTGTAAAACCTGTGATGCCAAAGTTAACAGCAAGGTCCCTGCAGTTTATTACTTCATCCAGAGCCCTTGGTGCAGTTAATACCAGGGATAATGCCCAGGTTTGGAGTGGCCCATTTATTATCCCGTGCGTTATTAAGATAATAGTCAAGCTTTGGTAATTCCAGTCACATAATGGATATATATAGCTCCAATTTGAGGATTGCCCCATCATTAAATCTAATTATGTCTGATAGGGAGTTGTCCCTGGGGAGCAGCTCCTTGAGTGAGCATCTTCCCTTTGGCAGTGCAGACAAACCGTGGCAGATCTGCAGCAGTAAATTGTCCCAGAAACACTTCCCCCACCTCATCCCCCATGTCTGCCCCCACCTGGGCCAGGTGTGTGATGTTTGGGTGTTCCCTGTATCACCTGAGCCAGGTGTGTGATGTTTGGGTGTCCCCTGCATTACCTGGGCCAGGTGTGTGATGTTTGGGTGTCCCCTGTACCAGGTGTGTGATGTTTGGGTGTCCCCTATACCAGGTGTGTGGTGTTTGGGTGTCCCCTGCATTACCTGCACCAGGTGTGTGATGTTTGGGTGTCCCCTGAGCCAGGTGTGTGATGTTTGGGTGTCCCTGTACCAGGTGTGTGATGTTTGGGTGTCCACCTGAGCCAGGTGTGTGGTGTTTGGGTGTTGCCCTGCATCATCTGGGCCAGGTGTGTGATGTTTGGGTGTTCCCTGTACATCCATGTCTGCCCTCACCTGGGCCAGGTGTGTGATGTTTGGGTGTCCCCTGAGCCAGGTGTGTGATGTTTGGGTGTCCCCTGTACCAGGTGTGTGATGTTTGGGTGTCCCCTATACCAGGTGTGTGATGTTTGGGTGTCCCTGTACCAGGTGTGTGATGTTTGGGTGTCCCCTGCACCACCTGAGCTGCAGTTTTTGGGTCTGTCTCCTGTCAGGTGCTGGAGCTGTGTTGTTCCCCCCCTGCCCAGAACACCTGAGCTGTTTGTGCTGCCCCACACCCCCATGGGTGTCAGCTCTGGTGACATTTGGAGCTGTCCAGGTGTCCTGGGGCTGCTGGCAGCGCTCCCACCTGGGGCTCTCTCTCTGCCTCGCTCCTGCAGTGCAGCTGGGGTTGGTGCCATCAACACAAATCCTTTTCTTCCAGTCATTTCTGATTTTTCTGCCCTTCTCTCCTTGCTCCAAAGGGGAAGATCCCTTGGCTGGGGACCAGAACGACCACGACATGGATTCCATAGCAGGAGTCCTCAAGCTCTATTTCCGAGGCTTGGAGCACCCCCTCTTCCCCAAGGACATCTTCCATGACCTGATTGCCTGTGTCAGTAAGTACATGAAGAGCTGGAAAGAAACTGGATCCATTTTTCTCATCTCCCACTTCTCTTTCTTCCCTTTCCTCTTTTTTTCCTGACTCCAGTGTGAGTTTTTGGGGTTTCTTTGGCTGGGTTTGTGCTGCTGGGCTGGGCTGTGTTATCCAGCCACCTTTTCACAGCCATCCTTGCTCTGACATGGATGGACAAGGAGATAGAAATCCATGGATTTTGAGGGCTGTGAGATGGGGTTTTGTGAGACAGTGCTTTGTGACAGGATTCTTTTAAAAGAGAATAAAGCAAAAAAACCCTCACTTGTGTAAAATAATCTTGAAGAGCTGTCATCAGAGGATGTCAGAAATGCCCTCTCCGAGGCAGGGATCAGCAGCAGGGCTCCCTGCCTTGTGTGCTTTCCCTGGATACCTGCTGCCATGCTCCCATGTGCTGGCCTCAGCTGACAAGGTAGTTTTTATTCATACTCCTTTTAGCTTCATCCCCACCAGGGACCATCCTCTGCCTCCTGCTCCAGCATATCAATCACCAGGGCACTCACAGCCGAGCTGATAACGTTTCTCATGGTTTCTGAAGGTGCTTCTGCCTGGCAGAGGGTTGTTTGTGGTTTCTGTATGTGAACAACCTCGTTTTTAAGTGGCCTGGCTCTTGCTACGTCCCCCAGAATTGAAGAATGGTTCCATTGTCCAGGCAGAGAAATGGCCTTTGCAGGGGCAGCCTCCGAGGAGGGACAGAAGATTACTGAGGAGACAGCTTCAGAAATGGCCTGTGCTTCTCTGCTGCTGATAAATGCATTTCCAGACTTGGATTCATGTTGTGTTGAGAAGCCAAATCTGCTTCCCCCCGGAGGAGCTCTCCCTTCTGGGCTGATTTATGCTGCCCACTTCTTTCTCAGCGGGCGCTGCACACGCAGCCCTTTGCCTCAGCCTCCAACTGTGTTAACTGGAGTGTCACACAGCTTTTCCTTTTCAAACACCCCCAGCTGCCCTGAGTGAGCCCCTGTGCCAGAGCCCCTGCCCAGGTGACATCCAGAGCTCCCACGCTGGCACTCAGGGTCCCACGTGTTTGGGGACTTCCTCTGGCAGAGGCTTTGCCAGCAGCTTCTGCAGCCAGATCCCATCCTGCTGGTGCCCTGCTGGTGCCCTGCTGGTGCTCTGCTGGTGCCCTGCTGGTGCCCTGCTGGTGCCCTGCTGGTGCCCTGCTGGCTGCCCAGTTTGCAGAGCTGGTGGCCCTGGTGGCCCTGGGGCTGTGGGGGTGACTCTGGTGCTCTCTCTCCCTTCCAGCCATGGATAATTTGCAGGAGCGAGCGCTGCACGTCCGGAAGGTGCTGCTGAACCTGCCCAAGACCACCCTGATTGTCATGAGATACCTCTTTGCATTCCTCAATCAGTGAGTACCCCTGGGAGCACCAGGGCTCTGCTGCAGGGTGGGATAAACATGGGATTATTGAGGATGGACAGGGCAGGGACACCTTCCTCCATCCCAGGCTGCTCCAAACCCCATCCAGCCTGGCCTTGGGCACTGCCAGGGATCCAGGGGCAGCCACAGCTCCTCTGGACACCCTGCCCACCCTCTCAGGGAGGATTTCTTCCCAATATCTCATTTTGCCTCCTCTCTTTCAGTTTAAATCCGTGGCAGGGGGGTCCTGCTGTAAGCCTGGCCTTGAGTTGGGCTGCAGGTGGGGCTCTGAACAATAACAGAGAAGAAATAAAGTCAGACATTAAACTCAGCACCCAGAGCTTCTCAAGCTTTCAAACCTTTGCAGTTTCTATTTCATTTCTCAGTAAATACCATCAGTGTCTCATTTTTCACCTGGACCCAGAACATTTGTGTCCCAGAAAGCCCAAAGCTCCTGAGCCCAGCTGTGTGCTCTGAGCAGAGGATGGTGATGAAGATGACAATTTCCTTCTTCCCACCTGTGTTTTCTCACAGTTTATCTCAGTTCAGTGAGGAGAACATGATGGATCCCTACAACCTGGCCATCTGCTTTGGGCCCACGCTGATGTCCGTGCCCGAGGGTCACGACCAGGTCTCGTGCCAGGCTCACGTCAATGAACTGATCAAAACCATCATCATCCAACACGAGAACATCTTCCCAGGACCCAGGGAGCTGGAGGGCCCGGTCTACAGCAGGGGTGGAAACACAGAGGATTACTGGTATGATGGATGCTCTGAGGAGAGCCATGGGTGGCTGTTGGTCCATGGATTAGGGTGCTGCAGTTGTGTTGGCTAATTCGAGATTGCAGCGTCTGGCCCAGCCTTTCAAAAATCCAAAATTTCAAAAAATCTGTTTTATAGCAGCAAAGATGGCCCTGGTCTCTCCAGAGAGTCATCAGCTTAAAAGAAATAAGCTGGTATAAAGTAGCTATTTAATTGTCAAACCTTGCTCACTTATCTTGAAGGGCAAAGTTGTGGAGGGATTTTCTTGGATGTTCTGGTTTGGTAGCTGCCAAAATCAATCTTTTTGTTGGTTTTTTTTTTCCTTTTTTCTTTCTGCCTTTCCTCTCTGCCTGTGTGGAGTGCCTTTGCTTCAGACACAGGGGTCACTTGCAGCTGAACCTCCAGGGCTGTGGCACGCTTTGATTTCCAGGGCAGCCCCGCTGGAGGGGGAGGGAAGAGGCAGGAATGCAAAATCACCATTTCCATGCAGCCCCGAGCTCCAGAGGCTCCACGTGCTCAGTCTGAGAGCACATCTGGAAGCAATTCAGGCTCCTGTCATCTGGGCTGGGAGCTTGGGCAGTGGGGGAAGGAAAGGAGGGGTTTGCTTTCCTCCTGGCCGAGCTGATCCCTCCCTCTGAGCATCAGGAATGTTCATTTGTGTCCCACCTCTCCCCCCACTGCTCCTGCTCTCCTTCAGCATCACAGCAATGTAAAGGATTATTTTCCTGGACTAAAATAAATAGGTTTTTTTTCCTTTTTTTAATGAAGTCACTGTGGTGACAGAGCAAGCCTTGTTTCTCTGGCTTGTCTCAGAGCTCTGGGATCACTCCTCGCTTCGAGGCTCCTCCAAACTCACTGCTGTGTGCAGAGCACTTGCCAAAACCTTTTGGAAATTCTCTTAATTTCACCCCCCTCTCTGATGTTTTTAGCTGATGTTTTATATGAAGGAATTGCAGGGTGGGGGAAAAAAAACCCAGCTTAGTAATATTTCTGGCTTTCAGGAAACACATCGATTTGGACAAGAGGTTTTGTGCCATGAGGTGAAGGGAATCACAGTGTGCTGAGTTCCCTCGGTGTGGGTGTGCACACAGGATGTCCTGGGGGTGATAGGTGTGGGTGTGCACACAGGATGTCCTGGGGGTGATATCAGGGAAGGGGATAAGGGATGGAGCTGGAAGGGACTCTCAGGGATCATGGGATGTCCTGGGGGTGATATCAGGGAAGGGGATAAGGGATGGAGCTGGAAGGGACCCTCAGGGATCATCGATCCAGCCCCCAGCCCTGCACAGACACCCCAAAATCTCACCCTGGCTATCCCTGGGAGCCTTGTCCTGGAGCTCTGGCAGCCTCAGGGCCAGGACCATTCCCTGGGGAGCCTTTTCCAGAGCCCCAGAGGGGAAGAACCTTTCCCTGCTCAGCCCCCAAACCTCCCCTGGCTCCTTCCCTGCTGTCACAGGGAGCAGAGATCGGAGCTGCCCCTCAATTCCCTGCTGGGAATTCCTCAACTCCATTCCTCTGGCAGGATTTATTGCTGTCACTGCTTCCCAGAGCAGCAGCCAGGGCTCAGCCAGCAGCAAGCACAGGTTTTTAGGTGGAAGCTGGGCTGGGAAGAGGCACGTGGCCTCTGTGCCAGGTTTGTGCTCAACATGACTTCACAGGCTGGGTGAAACTTCAGCCCTCAGTGCTGCTTCCTCCTGGGGCCTCCAGAGGCTCCTGTAGGCTCTGCTGAGGAGCAGAAAGGCTCTGCAGAGGATGGGGAAGGGTGATGGCTGAGGTGCTGGCTCAGGAGATGCTGGGCAGCCTGGTGTCCTGCGGATTAAGCAGAACGAGATGCCGGAGTTATCCAGATGTTTCACCCCTTCTCCTTTTTCTGTTTTCCTCGTATTTAAAAGAGCACAGGGGGTAGATTGCCAGGGGGAGAGCACTGTCCAGCCAGCATCACTGAATTTTAACCATTGCAGGGCCAAAGTGAGGGATGAAATCACTCCTGTGTGAAGGAGATTAAAAATCCCCTTGAAGGAGTCACGGTGTGAGGAGGCAGCAAAGGAGGTTTCTGGTGTAAGATGAAGAGCAAACACTGGTTTTTAGCCCTTTTTTTTCCTCCTGAAAGGAGCAGGCAGGGCTGCCAGCTGGCAGCAGCCCTGTGGAGCTGCTTGGGAGAGGCAATGGATCCTCTTCCAGTTTCCTTTCTGCTCCTGTCCAGAGGGAGCTGCTCGTGGAGCTCCTTACAAAAACATAACCTTTGGTTGCCACTTGTTTGTCTGTTGATCCTTTCAAAGCTTTTCTTCATGCCAAACATAAATGAGTCCTCCTGCTAGTTCAGGTGCTCTGGAATCTTTATTTACAGGCAACTAATTGGGCTGTGGGAGTTGTTTGGGGAAATGAATGGGACATTTATGGTGCTGATAAAAGGGATGGAGGGAGATGACAAACACAGACCTGGAAATATCGTTATAAATCCAGGAATGATTTCCCCCAGGAAGTTGCAGCTTTCTCATCAGCCATCTAATGAGCTAATTAGAGCAATGGAGAGTGCAGCCAAGGGAATAATCCTGGCGTGGCAGGGAGGAGCTGGACCCAGCCTGGCACTGCTCTCTGAGTGCTCAGCATCTCCAGAGGTCCAGGCTGTAAGATGTGGAGCTGGACTTTGCTGACAGCACTCACAGGGGGGGTCACCAAGACCTTTGGTTTGGCTGATCAAACAAGAATTCAGCTTGATTTTTACCCACAGCCACTTCAGCACGTGCAGACACATCCACAAAGTGTCTGCAGCAGCAAAACCCAAACTCCTGATGAGGATTCCCAGTTCTATCTGATTGTTTTCCAGGATGTTCCCAGCTCTTTCTGATTACTTTCCAGGATGTTCCCAGCCCTGTCTGCTTGCTGGCCATGAGGGATCTCAGTTGCCAGCAGTTAAAGCTGTTCCCTTCTGTTGCAGTGAGAGCCCTCACGGAGAGAGAGCCCTGGCAGAGGATTCGGTGCAGGACGTCACAGCCGAGCACCACACCAGTGATGATGGTATGGGAAGTCTGGTGTTGGCTGGGGGAGGCAGGGAAGGCTGTGCCCTTGGAGGTTTGAAGATCCAAAGTGGAGTTTGAGTGGCTCAGAGCATCACGTGGCAGTGTTTGGTGGCGGAATGGAGGTGTAGGATCAGTGGGAATCTCTGGAATTACCTGGTGATTTTGAGCGTGTCCTTTCTTCTCACGGGGTCTCAGCTGCAGGCTGGATGTGTTTCAGTGTCCTCTCCCACGCCCCTCTGCCTGTGCCAGGCTCAGTCAGTGCCTCAGGGAGGAGAATTGTGAGTGCTCAAAGCCCCAGGGCTTTAAGGGAGCAAACAAACCCCAAACCTGCCTGTCTTCCACTGGGAGCTGGGCTTTGCAGCAGAGGATCCTGAGGGCCTCTCAGAGATAATTTCTAGATTTCCTTAAGGAAGCTCAGTTACATTTCTTGCCTGATCAGTGAAAAGAGGCACCAAGGCTGAGAATTCCAGGAGATTTCCTCAGGAAAAGGTGACACTGCAGTTGTGAGCGTCCTTGATGCTTCCAGAGCCTCCTGGGACGGGGAACATCCTGTGGGCCCCATCCAGAGCAGAGCAGATGAAAGGACTGATGTGAAACGATGATCCCTGGCGTGCTGAGCAGCCTGACCACCAGGCCAGGACAGGCTTTTGTTCTTCTGTTCAGAGCCTTTGCAGCTGTGGAACTCTTGGGGTGGTTTTACTTGCACAGCCCCAACTGCAGAGGTGGGAAACAGCATTCCCTTCAAACTGGGCATCCTCCTTTCTGAGCTGGCCTTGAGGAATTTGCTCAGTGGCCCTGCCAGCTGCTCCTGTGCTGCCTCTCTGCTCCAGCAGCTGCCTAACAAAGCCTCCCCTGGCTCCCACTGGCTTCACAGCTCGCTGATCTCGCAGCTCTGTCCCGACCTGAAGCATTCTCTGTGAGCCTCTGGTGCTCTCACAGCAGTGAGGGAGGAAAGGAGACGCTGGGAAATGAGTTCTGCCTCAGCCAGGCCAGGCACTGCTGCTCCTCTGCAGGGCTGGGAAGCACAGATCCCTGGGGAATGAACCACAGGGCCACCCCCTGCCTTGGGGAGAGTGTTCTGTTTAGCAAGTGGGAGCTCTGGAAAACACATGGAAATGTGTCCTGCTGGAGCTTGGGTCTCTGAGGAGCACCTGGGTGGTGAGGAGGGACAGGCCACCCCATCCCACAGCTGTGCTGCACCCTCCTCTGAACTTGTGCTGGGGTTTGTACATCTTTGGGTGACTGGGAGGGCACAAGAGTGAGAAAGGAGCAGAGATCAGAGAAGGACACTGCTCTGCAGCCCTGTGTCTGGGGTTTGTACATCTTTGGGTGACTGGGAGGGCACAAGGGTGAGAAAGGAGAGAGATCAGATACATCTTTGGGTGACTGGGAGGGCACAAGGGTGAGAAAGGAGAGAGATCAGAGAAGGACACTGCTCTGCAGCCCCTGAGCAAGGTAAAGCTGGGAGGTGTTCTGGATGGAGCCCTGCAGCCTCCGTGGAATGTTCCAGAGGAGGCAGATGGGCTGGGGCTCTTTGAGGGAGCAGCAGTGCATGGTTAATTAAGGAGTCTCGTGCTAATTGGGCTGTGCACCCTGCTCACACCTCTCAGCAGTGCAGGTACAGCTCCACCACGGAGCTTCCTGGGGCTTTTCCCTCCTGCTGTCTTCAGATGGGACCAAACTTCCTAAAAACCCTCTGGGGGAGGCTGGGATTAATCTTCCCAAAGTAAAGCTGTCATCCCAGCCACCCCTGGGTGGGATTTTGGGCTGAGGGGAGAGTTTGTGTTTGGCAGAGCATCTGTGCAGCTCATCAGCCTCCCTGAACGGATTTGAGACAGGTATGAGAGGTCAGGACTGCTGAAAGGCAAGCAGATTGCGTGTTTGTTAAATTATAAATACGAGTGGAAATGTTTTAATCTGCTGCTTGTCTGCCCAAGCTGTCAGACTGGCAGGGGGAATTGTTTGGCTTAGCCTTATTGCTCTTCATTCACACAGTTTTCTTCTCTGAGCATGAAGTGTCAGTAGGAAAAAGCTACTGGAAATTAAAGTCTAAAATCAGTCCTCTGGAGAAAAGCCAGAGTCCTAAAAAGCAAATTGAAAACATAAGAAACCTGAGTGCCACGCTCATCTGGAACAATAAACACTTGCTAATGAAGCAGATGGAATTTACCAAACCACACTCCCATCCCCTTCCTAAATGGAGGGGGACACCAAAACCCAGCATTGCTGGGGTTTGGGGCTGTTAGGACAAGCTGGCAGAACAAGCAGGAGGGAGGAAGGAGCCAGGCCCAGATAACCACGTGCTTGGGGGTGTCTGCCAGCATGGGCCAGGCTCTTCCCACCCTTCCAAATCCCTGGCTGAGGGCTGATAAATGGGATTTGTGTGAGTCTGACCACAGGCTTGGGTGTTTTGGGAGAATTCTGAGCTGTCAGGGTTGGTGGAGGAGGGGTCTCACAGATCCTGTGGCTGACTGCCCTCGGTCACTCGGTGCTGGGTAATTCCAGGTGCTGCTGGGGCTTTTTGGGGGGAGATGCTTCTGCTCTGCTCCCTCAGCCTGGCTGAGGCGCTCCAGCTGCCTCAGGTGGATTTACACCATTATTTTCCCAAGCCCTGCTGCCACCTTGCAGCCTACAGGCAGCTCCAGAGCCGGTTCTGGAGCATTTCCTCTCCCAGGGAATAACTGGAAAAGCTGTGCCTGGTGTTTGGCCTTCCAGCCCCTTTCAGTTTTCTCCTGCACTGTAGGTTGAAGCTTCCTGTGGTGCAGAGATCTCTGTGTGCAGTAGCAGATCTCTCTTTGATCAAGGGAGAGGAACCACAAATCTCTTTTCTCCAGGAAAGAACTCAATTTCCATGGATTGCTGGGCTGCATTAAAGCTCCTTTAAAGTAATTAGAGGGAGCCCACTGGGGCTGTGTGGTTGAGCTCATCTCCATTCCCCTGATCCCTGCCCAGAACCAGGAGCTGCCTTAATACACATTTACACTCCAACAGTGGCAGGGGTTTGTATTTTTTCAGAGCCTTAAAAATAATCCACGGGAATTCCACATTGATTTCCCTGAGTGTCTCAAATGCCCTTATTGTGCCTCTGTACAATATCAGAGTCCTGCAGGGACCTGGATTAGTGGCAGGGCACGGCTGGAGCTCCTGTGTGAGCTTTGCAGGAGTGGGCACAGAACATCCCAGGGATGCTCTGTGTCCTCAGCCCTGCACCAAGCCCGGCTCTGGAGGCACTGGGTGTTTTCTTTTGCTTCCATGAGCCTTGGAGGAGCAGCAGGGCCTCCCACCGTGCCAGAATTCCGCTCTCCTGCCTCAGGTGAGCCTCACAGGCAGCAGAAATTTCCTTCTGAATAGATGCTTTATTTCTGAAGCTCGGAATGAGAGGATGTTTCCCTCCCCTGCCTGCCCAGTTCACTTCAGCTGCTTTTAAGGCAGTGAACCACGGGCAGATTTTTGTCTGGAACGTTCCTGATTGCTTCCCACCCCTGAAACCCTTTTGTTTTTAATGAACCCCTAATTCTGCCCTTGCCATTCCCATCTTTGTTGGCCTGGACTGCTGTGGGTGGGGTTTAGGGCTTAGAAAACAAAAATGTGTCTCCGTGTAGGGATGAGGTAAAGGGTGAAAGGTGCAGCATCCTTAAGTTCAGGGGTTCCCCTCTGAGTCCTCCTGCTTCCAACCCTCCTGAAGAAGTCGCACTTTTTCCCCCTCCTGCTCTGGTTCCTGGCAGGTTTGAAGTGCTGGCTTGCTCAGGTGTTTGTTCATCCCCTCCTGTCTCCTAGAGAGCGAGCCCATCGAGGCCATCGCCAGGTTTGACTACCTGGGCAGGACCGCGCGGGAGCTGTCCTTCAAGAAAGGCGCGTCGCTGCTGCTGTACCAGCGCGCCTCGGACGACTGGTGGGAGGGACGGCACAACGGCATCGACGGCCTCATCCCCCATCAGTACATCGTGGTGCAGGACACGTAGGTGCCCCCCTGCAGCCTCCAGAGCCGCCCTGGCACGGGGCTGCATGGCCACGGAGAGCTGGGCTGGTCACGCTCGGGGAGGAAAGGGTTGGCGTGGTGTCTGCTGAAGGGGCACGGCTGGGGTCTCCGGAGTGATCACGGCAGGCAGGTGCTCAGGAGGAGGGGATTTTCCACAAGGGGTGATGGGATGTGGGGGAATGGCCTTAGGATGCAGGAGGGCAGGATTAGGCTGGGTGCGTTGGAAGGGATTCCCTGGCAGGGTGGGCAGGCCCTGGCTCAGGTGCCCAGAGGAGCTGGGGCTGCCCCTGGATCCCTGGAACTGCCCAACCCAGGCTGGACAGGGCTTGGAGCAGCCTGGGGAAGCAGAAGATGTCCCTGCCCGCAGCAGGGAGGTGGAACAAGATGATCATGATCCCTTCCAGGGAGACCATTCAGGGGTGGGAATGACACCGTGCTGCCGTAGAGCCGTACTGCAAATCCAGCCCTGCTGCCCCTGCTGTGCTTGTGACACCCTCCCCTCCTCCTTCCTAGCGAGGACGGGATGTCGGAAAGGTCCAGTCCGAAGTCGGAAATAGAAATAAATTCTGAGCCACCGGAGGAGAAAGTGACGGCCAGAGCCGGTGCCAGCTGCCCGAGCGGGGGCCACGTCGCGGATATTTACCTTGCAAACATCAACAAGTAAGAGCAGCCTCGCTTTGTTCTCCCTGCCTGTCGAGAGCTCGAGTCCAGTGAAATGCTTCCTTCCCTGAGAAAGATTCATTAACAAGCACTGCCACCCTTTTTCTCTGCTTCCCCCTCTCTTAGCTCATGTTTTGCTGTCCCCTCTCTGTCACCGGCGTGGCCGTGGTGGCTCGTTTGGAGCCCCGCTGGTTTCTGTTCCCTGTCTCCAAGGTGCCATCTGGTCCTGCTTTCCCAAACCTGCCCTGTCCCGTGCTCTGAGCGGGCAGAGGGAGGCAGGGCAGCGCTGGGCTGAGATCTCGTGTCGTTGTCCCCATCCCTCCTCGTGTTCTGTCATCTGTCACGTCCCCTCCGCATTCAGCACGTGCTGTTGGCTGGGGTGGGGGGACAGTTCCTGCAGGAAGCCGTGTTTGTGATAAATGCCATACCTGCAGTCCCTCCATCTGGCACTGCCTGGAGCACTCCTTTGTTTCTGCAGCACTCCTCACCTCGGGTCACTAACCATATGCTTGCAGTGCAACTGCACAACCCCCTGTTGCTCTAACCTTGCCTCCTCCACCAGAAATCGTTGCTTTAGCCAACACTCAACATAATAAAAAGCTGGAAAATCGAGCCAGGAGCAGACTAAATTCCATGATCTGTTCAATCATTTTTTTTTCCTATAAGACAGGCTTATCCCCCATATATTTCTGATTGTTTTCCTTCATGTTAAAAACCTCCACCTCTCTCCATTGTGCAGTGAAGGAATTATGTGATAATTGCAGTTTGATGGGAGGGGATGTTCTTAACCTTCAGTTAATTTAACACAATGTAGTCTATTAAAGGCATTAACACAAATGCATCCTTTTAAAAGGTTTGGACCCTGCTCATGGCCTAGAGAGCCTGGTCCTTCCTTCTGGGATTCAGCAGAGCTCCAGTGATAGCTGGGAAGCCGTGTTAATCTGCATCAGCTTGGGATCTGGGCTTTCTTTTATGATATTTGCCGTCTGAGCCACTGGAGTGGCTGTTGTGGCAGTTATGGAGAGATTTGTGTAATAACAGACCTGTGCTGGAGCTTCACCATCTGCTGGCTTTGGTAGAGTTGTGTGCAGTGGTTTTTAGAAGCCTGGGGAATGTCCACTCCAGTTTGGGGTTTGTTTTTTTTTTGTTTTGTTTTGTTTTGGTTTTTTTCCCCCCTTTGCTAGGGAACCTGATATTTAGCAATAAGTAGCATAAGACTCATTTTGTTGTTTTTTCTTTAGGAATGAATCTCCTGACCTATGTGTGAACAGACTTGAGCAAAATTAAATCAGATGGTTTCGCAATGACAGTTGTGCCACCCACTGAATTATTATTTGGATGCCAAAATCCTACTGGAGTTAACACTTTCTTGCAGTTATTCATGGGGCTGGTGCTATATATATATATAAATGGATCCTTCCCTGTATAATGGATGCCAAGCTTCAGACCTATGGCATAAAGTATTCTGCTGCATTGGCCTTCCCATGATTTGAGTGGAATCGTGCTGTCAGACCTCATGGTGCTGGGGCAGAAACTAAATTCTTTGGACCAGTTCATCCATTTGACATCATCCCTTTGGTTTTATCTGTAGCCCTGCATAGATAATGCCTTGTGGTCCTGCCAAAGCCATGAAAAAGAACCATCTCTTACCACCAGCAAACATTGGAAATGATCATTAACCCCAAACTGGGGGTCTTTGCTTGCTGATCTCTGAAAACAATAACTTGATGCCTTGGGCCAGGAGCTTAGTAGACTTATACTGTCAAAGATTGTAGCTCTGCTCTTGGAATGTAATAAAAACACATCATCAAAACCTGTCGATGGCACAGAGGGTTTGTTTCTTTTGGTTGCTTTTATTTTTATTTTTGTTCCAGTATAAATTCTTCTCCTCTTGACCAAGTTAATCACGTTCCACCCAAGTTTTCTGGTTTTGCTATGAATGTGCACAGCTTCCAGGACTCAGTCTTGTTGTTAGAAGCGTGAAACTGGAATGATTTATAATTATTTATAATTATTTCACTGTACCGCAATCACTCCTCAACCCCCTGGGTCTGTTTGTAATCTGGGCTCCTCTGTGTCTCTTCCCATTGTCCTGTGTGTTGTTTTTTGGGGGGATATCTTCAAATGACAGCCCTGTACCTGCTTGTATTGACTTGTTTTGCTTTTGTGACTGAAGGCAAAGAAAGAAACCAGAGTCAGGCAGCATCAGAAGAGCGTTCCGTCAAAGTGACAGCCACGGCCTAGGTAGTTCCCTGGCAGAACCAGCCTCCCCCGGAGCCATAGCCGGTTCCAGGCCCTCATCTCAGCCCATTATGAGCCAAAGTCTTCCCAAGGAGGTTCCAGACAAATGCTCCATCAGTGGCCACGGCAGCCTCAATTCCATCAGCCGGCACTCGTCGCTGAAGAGCAGGATGGACAGCCCGCAGATCCGCAAGGCTGTCACGGCAGGGAGGTCCAAGAGCTTCAACAACCACCGGCCCATGGACCCCGAGGTGATTGCACAGGTCAGCAGCAGCTTCTGCCCCGAGGGGTTTGCCTGGGGAGCTCGGGGGTGTGGGTGCAGGAGCTGTTGGAGTGCGAGGTGTGGTTTAATCCCGTGTCCGTTCCCCAGGAGGGAATCCTGTGGACCAGGAGAGACTCTGGGAGCTGGACCTGGTCAGTCTGGAGAGGAGAGGGCTGAGAGGGGATCCCACAAATGCCATCCCACGAATGCCATCCCACGAATGCCATCCCACGAATGCCATCCCACGAATGCCATCCCACGAATGCCATCCCACAAATCCCATCCCATGAATCCCATCCCATGAATCCCATCCCACGAATGCCATCCCACTAATCCCATCCCATGAATCCCATCCCACTAATGCCATCCCATGAATCCCATCCTACGAATGCCATCCCACAAATCCCATCCCACTAATCCCATCCATATCCCCAAGGATGGTGCCAGGCTCTCTTCAGCAGCAGGACAAGGAGCCACAGATTAAAATAAAATAAAAAGTTAAAGTAAAATAAAAAGTTAAATTAAAATAAAACAAAAAGTTCAGCCTCAGCATGAGGAAGAGCTTCTGTTCCCTGAGAGCAGCAGAGCCCTGGAGCTGCCGGGGAGGGAGTGCAGTTCCCCCCTCTGCAGACACCCCAAAGCCACCTGGATGAGTTTCTGTGTCACCTGCTCCAGGTGACCCTGCCTGGACAGGGCTTGGACTCCAGAGGTCCCTTCCAACCCCAAGCATTCTGTGATTCTCTCAGTGCAGTATTAACTCAGGGCACAGCCCCAGTCTGGGTTTTCTTCCTCTCCATGTGCAAGGCACTGCTTTCCTGAGGGGAGATAAAGAGTCAGGTCCTTCCTCCGTTAAAACTTGGCTCTGTTCGTTACCCAGAATTTAATCTCAGCACTAAAAACACCCATCTCAGAAAGTGACACAGATTCCAGAGCTGTCAGCAGAGAATTGAGCAGACATAACTGCAGGACATGAGAGAAATGAAGTGTTTATTGTGGATTTAACCCTGCAGGCTGCTGACTTGTGGCATCCTCATCTCCTTGCAGGGCTCAGGGTGTGATCAGGAACCAGCTCTGAGCGCAGCCCTGCTGGTTTGCAGGAGTTTGTTATTTACACAAGGGCCTTGCAGTCGGGGCTGGCTCCCAAAGGTGTGAAGTTAGCGATTTCCCTCTTCCAGCAGGGCTTTTCCCAGCTGGATTTGCCTGCACTTGCATTTCCCTGTACCCACTGTTGGCAGGGTGGGATGGATGGCTCTGGCTGGAGCCAAGGAATGCTCCAGGCTCGGATTACAAAGCCAGCCCTGGGAGACCTGACTGCTCTGCCTGGCTCGGGGCTCTGCAGGTTCCTAAGGAGCTGGGGGGGGGAAATACGTGAGAATCAAACTGGATTTTTATTGACAAAAATCATAATAAAGTCATAAATAAGGGGCAGATTAAAACCCAGTGGGTTTAATGCTGATGGGAGTTTGTATTTTGCCATTTTGAGCCCGTTTGTTACACTGAAAATGTAGTGAACAGCTCCTGTTGTCTTGGTGTTTCCCTCTCCTTCCGAGGCTTTGGTTGATATAAATCAGATTCTTTGTTTTTTCAATTAGGCTCTGACTGAAGTTGTTCTGTCTCCTCTCCCTGCCAGAACCTTCACTCCATTGTTTCACTGGAGAAGAGTCTGGGGACAAAAAGGAACGGGGAGGGGGAAATAAATAAAAAAAGAGGAGGGAGGAAAAACCCAAGCTGTGTTAAATCAGAGTTTTTCTCTGTAGTATCTGCTCAAACACCATCCAATAACCATCTTACATATTTCCCCAACTTCACAAGGAAAATCTGCCTGGCCTCAAGATAGAGTGGGAGGTGTCAGATTTCTGCCTCTGCTTTCTTCCACCATCCCTTGACTGATTTACCTTCCCCACCCCCTGAAAAAGCTCTGAGGAAGCTGGAAAGCTGCAGCCAAAAGTGTGAGTCACAGCCAGGCTGAGCTCTCCTGCTCCCCAAGGAGTTCTGTGCACCACTGGACTCTCCAGCAGACAGTGTGGATGCCCTGAGACAAAAAACCCCGTGGTTTTAGCTCAGAAGTTCTCTTTGTATTTATCTGTTAATAGCTGTAATACTTTTTAAGAGGAAGGAGAAGGGCCAGTTTTGGTTTCTACACGTGTTTCTGGCATCTTCCGTGTTTTCTAAAACTCTGAGTCCTGTGAAATACATTTCTGGGAACAACTCAGCAGGAAAACCAGCAAGGCACGAGGATTTCAACATCCAGTGTGTTCACATCAGCCGGTGCCCAGGCCATCAGGAATTTGCTCTCCCGAATTTCACACAAACCGCACGAGTGGGCGCCGGTGCTTTGGTTTCTGTACCTTGCTGCACTCTGGGGCTTTTCTCTGAATCCTGGGCAGCATCAGGAGCAGTGAAGGGCCAGATCAGCATCAAGGCAGTGCTAGCAATTATTTTGCTGGAAAATGTTAGTGATTATTGGCCGCGGGATGCGGCGCTGCGCAGTTTGGTCCTTGACCCGAGGTCGGTGTTTAGAAAACAGAAACGTTCTCAGAATCTGCCTTTTGTCTGGTTATTTGTGTGTCTGGGCCGTGCCTTCACCGTGCTCCTCTGCTGTGCTTGCAGGACATTGAAGCCACCATGAACTCGGCCCTGAACGAGCTGCGGGAGCTGGAGAGGCAGAGCAGCGTCAAGCACACGCCCGACGTCGTCCTCGACACCCTGGAGCCCCTGAAAACGTCCCCGGTGGTGGCCCCCACCTCGGAGCCCTCCAGCCCCCTGCACACCCAGCTGCTCAAGGACGCTGAGCCCCCGTTCCAGCGCAGTGCCAGCACGGCTGGGGACATTCCCTGCACCTTCAGGCCCGTCAAGTCCGTTAAAATGGCCACGCAGGTGAAGCCGCCGGCCACGCGGCCCAAGCCCGCCGTGTTCCCCAAAACCAGCGCCACCAGCCCCGGCGTGGCCTCCTCCGCCCCCCAGCAGCCCCCTGACAAGTCCTGTACTGTCTGATCCGCCCCCTGCTGCTCTCTGGGTACAACTCCTGCTGTTCCAGATGAGGAGAACTCTGTCAAAGACATTAAAATTCCCGTTTAACGAACGCTTGGGCTGAAGGTGGGTCGTGAGCTGCTCCTGAGCGGCGACAGCCTCGTGCCACGTCCCCAGGACAGCTCCTGCCACACTTGGGGAATCCACAATCCACGATCCACTGTGAAGCTGAGCAGGAAAACACCAAGGGACGAGTTGGAATTTGGTTTCGATGCCTTGTTCAAGTGTTCGGCCGCTGGAAGGAACATTTGGTGGTGTCCTGTTTTTGGATGCTGGTGTAGTGACTTCTATATTCTGTGTTTCATTTACCACAGGGAAACAATAGGATAGATTTTAGTCTATTGCATGTTTTGGTGCCACTGGTTACGTGGAGCTTGGACATGCCTGATTCTTGTGCATTATTATAATTATAATTATAATTATTATTATTATTATTCCCTCTCCCGCTGGTGCCACGGTGGTTAAGGGTCTGTCTCGACTTCCATCACATCCTCTGGTTTTGTTTGTTTGCTCCCCATTCCTCCCCCTCAGGGCCAAAGCCTTTGGCCATCCAGCCTCATTACTTTAGTTGTCATGGAAAAAATAGTTTACTCTGGAACACTCGTAGATTTTGTGGAGTTCTACGTAAGATGTGTCTGTGCAAATATAAACAAAGATGTTCCCGAGGTCTGGGAGCACAAGAAAGAGCCCAGTTGTTGCTTATGGACAATCCTCACTGGTTTCCCCCTTTGCTCTCCCATATTTAAAGCAGTTTTTATGTTTCCAGTGTCACTTTCAGCCCGTGGGCTCTGACGCGCTGTTTGCTCCCGGGGGACTGAATGTACAAAAATCACAACCCAGACCATTGTGAGAAGGAGGTGCTCTGCTGGGAGCCCACCCCCAACACACACCCTGCTGGTTTGCCCGTTCCTCAGGACAGATCCTGGCCCCAAGCCCAGCGCCAAGCACTGTAAAAACTGTAAAAACTGTAAAAACTCCGCTCAGGAGTTCTCCAGCTCCCTGCCTTGTCCTGCCCGGGGCACCTCTGCTCTTATAGAGCAGTGCAGGGAGCTCTGCTGGGGACAGGGTTGTGACAGCACCTCTGGAGTGGCTCCCCTCCTGCTCCACGCAGGACTGACCTGTGAATGAATTCTTTGCTATTATTTGTATTTATCCGTAGCCAGCAGCACCCACGGACTCGTTTGTACTCCGCCGGGAGCTCTCTCGCGTTAATTTAATTTAATAATTGAGAGGAGTGCAGACTGGCTGACCCCCAGCTCGCCTCATTCCCCAAATCCTCGGCTTTTCCAGGATTTCAGACCAGCTGCACCTCTTAGGCTTCCGTCAAACAGGACCAGATAAGGAAAGTCATTTTTCTCACCCTTTCAAGCCGAGTTTCCTTTCAGTTTCTGGGTTCCTGGTGACTGCAAAGTCACTTTAATTGGCGCTTGAAAAAAGAAGAAGCAAAGAAGAGTTGCTGAAATGTCCTTTCCTGATGGATTTAGGATGTTACCTGGAAAAATGGAATGGGGTCTTCGCGCATCCCTGTCCATCCCCACACGCACAACCCCCTCTCTGCAGAAGCAATCAATCCCTAATTAATGACTTTCCAAAAAAAAAAAAGCCAGCTTCCCCTGGGCCCTGCACGAAGGACAGGTGAGAATTTGGGGAAGATTTTGGTGAGAACATTTCTCCTTTCCCCATTTCTCCTGAGCTTTCCTGGGGAAGCCCCACGGTACGAGCGTGACTGTCCCTGCCCCTCCAGGAGATGCCACCAGTGCCACCAGCGACCTTTGCTCTCAGGTTCTGATGGACTTCCACCACCAAGGAATCGCTTCTTCGTTTTGGGGGAAAAAAGAAAGAAATAAAATGATTAAAACTCGTAATTTTTTTGCTCAGGCAGAACTTTCTGGCGTTTCCTTTTTTAGTAAGAATTTTTTGGGGTTTTTTTTTTTTTGATTTCTTTTTTTATTTTTTATTTTTTTGGTCTCGAGTGACCGAAGTTAATCTGTGTCAAGAGCAGGATCTCTGTAAATTGACTTTGCCTCGTTTTAATGCCTTATTTTCTTTTTATATTTTTATGCCTAGCATTCAATATTCCTAAGAATTAAGTGTTCAGCCACGCACAGCACATTGGAGGAGCTGCTCTTTTCCAGCTTCAAGGTCTGAAGTGTGGAATTAGATGGAAAGAAAACAAAAAAAAATAAAAATAAAAATAAATATATATAAAAACGAATTCAGGTTTTACTGTAACAGCAACTGTCTGTATCTGGATTATTCCTGTGCTTCTCTAGCATCCACAGCTCTGGGACAATCCTGCTGCCAAGGGCTTGGCAGGATCACCTGGATATGGAGCAACTCAACTGGAATTGTGGTGTGCACTGTGATTGACACAAGCAATAGGACAGGCTGCAGCTCGTCCTTCCTCTTCCTCAGAGGAGAGCGGGGCGATGAAACCGGAGACTCACACGTGAAATTTGGGGGGGAAAAAGGAGATTTTTCAGCTTGTCAGCCTCGCTCTGTGAACACACAAGGCTGAGAGGACGTTTGCCATGTTTTGTGAGCAGGAAAAGGGGGAAGGAGCAGCTGGGGATGTTCCCTCCCTGCGGATCCCGGAGAGGAGCACGCCGTGCTTTGCTTGGGGAGGTACAAATGGCACTCCACATCTTCACATCCCGAGGGAATTCGTAGCTCTTCCACAGAAATCCTCTTCTCGTGACTTTCGTTGTGTCGAATATAAAAGACAAAAGAAGTGTTTGATAACTGGAATTACGTCTGTCTGTTCCATAGTGCTTTGTATGAACCTTGTTCATCAGGTGTGTTGGATTGAAATAATCCAAAAGAGAAAAAAAAAACTAACAAAACGATTTTAAAACAAAAAACGGTTTTAGGTGATCAATCTGAATGGTTTCTGAAGCTCTGGGTTATTTCCCTAGTTGGGAATGGAGCATTGTGCTTTAACCATTGCTTAATTTCTGCCTCTCTGAGGTCATCCAAAGTTTATGAATTGTGAATTTGTCCTTCGTGTCCGAGCAGTGGGACACGATCAAACCCTCTCACTTTATCTCTACTGGGTATTTTATTGCAATGAAAATGAGGAAATAATTAGAGTGCACTGTGACAGCAGAACAAACAAACAAACAAAAAAAAAGTTGTTGTATATGTCTGTATTTTGATACCTGTTCAAAAGGAGTCTTTGGGTTTCCTGTGCTGAATACCTCATGTGTTGGGTTTTGGGAGCTTTTGTTAATATTTTTTTTTTTAATTATTTTTATTTTTTTTATTATTTTTTTTTTCTTTTTTTAAGGCAAGATCGTTCTTGCACAAAAGTAGGTTAAGATAACCGAGTTCTCATAAATTTATTTACTGAATCAAAACACTTCAGCTTGGCAAGAAATCCCATCTGTTTTAATTCCCCACCTCGCACTGGGTACGGGGCTGACCCGGCGCACCTGGAAGAGCTCCAGCAATACTGGGACAGGAGAAATTCCTTGCAGGTGGAGTTTGCTGCCTTATTTCTCTTCTTCTCTGTGTCAAAAACCTCAAATCCAGTGGATGGTGGCGGAGGTTTGGGGATTTACGGAGCTTTTTTGGGAGATTTTTCCTCCGCAAAAATCGGCGTCTCCGCTTCTGAGCACCGCAGATCCTTCCCTGGGGAGTGGGCTGGGGGCTCCGTGTGGAGGGGACACCTCCAGGAGGTGATGCTCGCAGTGAGGAATCAGGAATTGATGGGAAAACGCCCCAAAAATCCCCACTGGGATGGTTTGATTCCACGAGAGGCTGAGCTCAGGCCCCTGGGCACGGTGGCGGAGGAAGGAGGTGGCTCTGTGTCCCCAGGTGAGGGGCACCTGTGCTTGGCAGGACCAAGCCCGGGGTGTCCCCCAAACACTGAACTCACCTGTGAGCCAAACTGCCTCAAAAACTGCTTCAAAACCCCAGGAAAACGGGAGCATTGGGGCATTTCCATCGCTTTGGGGCCTGTCCAGGACAGAAAATCGAGCTTAACAAGCCGGGGATTTATTTATTTTGAGATTTTTAGCTCTCACAAAAGTAACCAGCCCTTTTTTTGGGCTTATCTGGCCTTGGCTAACGCCCCACTGGTGCAGTTGGGGGCACAAAGCTGTTCCTTAGTGGGCTGGCAGCACAAGAGGTGGGAAGGAGGGAACGTCCTTCCCCAGGGGATGCTCTGGGGAAACACCGAGCACTTCACGGACTGAACTTTGGGCTTTGAGCTCTTCCCACATCAGCTCTCTCTGTCTCTGTGTCTGTGTGACAACCTGGTACTTGAAAATAAGAAATAAAAATAGAAATACTTGACCCTCTGCCTGGTGCCTGCGGGGTCGGGATGGCCCCGGCTGTGTCACGCACAAGCGGTTCCACCCACCAGAAGGCAGGTGAATTCTTTTCCAGGCTCGGTTCTAGCAGCAAAACCATCCATTTGGGTGGTTCTAGAGATGCCAAAACTGCGGTTCAAGGCCTGGAAAATGCAAGGGTTTTGTTGGTTTGGGGTTTTTTTTTTTTTTTCCTGTTAAATTTTGTGCTTCCTCTAACGAAGTTTGGGGTGAAAGTGTTTTTAACGATGGGCCAAAAAGAGGCGAAGGTGGGGAGGGAAGGCGGATTCCTGCCGTGCTTTTTGATCTGCCAAGCTCCACACAGGGTAAACACCGAGCAGTTTGCAGCAGGAATCGTAGGTGGGCACTGTGGTAACCTTCCCCCTGGACCCCACCAGCCTTTCCTCCAGCCTGAGACGTGAAGAACAACCCGAGCCCTGGGCTTGGGCTGGTGAGCGTGCCAAACTGCTGGAGCAATACTCGTGAGCAGCAGCTCCTGCCAAAGCCCAGCTCCATGTAGCTCAGACAGGGCGATGGCTGAAATCCAGCTCTGATTTCCAATTATCCATTTTTCCGATTTCTGAGGCAGGAAAAGCGGGCTGCAAAACGTAGGAATTGTGGTTTTCTGTCTCAACCTGGGGTTGTCAACGGCGGTTGTGTCATGGTGGGATGGAATCTTCTTGCTAAAACAAGTTTCCACTGTTTTCATGTCTTCTACACCAATATATATATGGTGTATATATTAAACTGTGTAAAATTGTACTTTGTACATAGAACTCTGTACAATATGGAGGTACAGCCTTTTTTTTGTTGTTGTTTGGTTGTTTTTTTTCCCCCCTCCCCCCTTTTTTGGTACAGTATTGTACAGTATTAGGAGTCGATGTGTTGGAAGTGTTAAATCCATACTGGAGCAACAAAATGTATCCATTGTCATTAGCAATAGTTTTGGAGAAATAAATGTTTTGGGTATGGTGGAAACACTGACCTGAGGGTGCTGGTGTGTGATGTCCTGGGTTTGAGAGGGACAGGGGGGGAGCGTGGTCTGGGGGGGTTTCTGGAATGCCCAGGAATGTTGTTGGAGGTGAGGAAGGAGCCAGGAGCACACGGTGGGCACGGGGAGGAGGGGGACACCAAGGATGTGGCAATGGCCTGAAGCTGAATGAGAGCAGGGTTAGATGGAATATTGAGAAAGAATTCTTCCCTGTGAGGGTGGGCAGGCCCTGGATCATCCCAGGCCAGGCTGGAGCACCCTGGGATAGTGGAAGGTGTCCCTGCCGTGGAATGCAGAGAGATTTTAAAGGTCTCCTCCAAGCCAAACCATTCTTTTGTGACCCCACTGATTCCGTGTTCCCCCCCACACACACCCACCACAGCAGGGTTCCCTGGGGTGAGCACTTCCCTGGCAGCCACCTGATCTAAAAATGCTAAATCTTCATCATCTTCCTGCAGAGGATGGGCCCCCAACTGTCTCAGGAAAGAGGATTTAAGATTTGAGATTATGGATTTTTTATCATTGTTATCATTTTTATCATTGTTATCATTTTTATAATTGCTATAATTTTTATCATTGTTATCATTTTTATCATTGTTACCATTTTTATCATTTTAATCATTTTTATAATTTTTATCATTGTTATCATTTTTATAATTGTTACCATTTTTATAATTTTTATCATTGTTATCATTTTCTCCCATCTCAGGCCTTTTTCAGAGCATGGAGGGGGAACGTGGCAGGGCTGTGTCATTTTGGCTTCCTTTTGTTAAAATTCAAAGGAATGCCTTACTTTCAGTGAGGTTTGATGTTTAACTGAGGCGTTTTGTCTTCCCTGTCCCTGGGGTGAGCATCCCTGAGCTCCTGTCCTACATCTCTTGTAGGGAACAGCTGGAAATCAGGGATGCTTTTACTCCAAAATCACATTTTCACTCCAAATCACCCCAGAGGCAGCTGGGCACGCTGCTGGTGGCTTTTTGTTTCTAAAACATGAGGCAGGAGTCAGCAGTGGGGTGGCAGGGACAGCAAGAGATTTTGGATTTTCCCTTGGGCACTGTCCAGCAGAAAACGCTGTGATTTCCTCTTAAACCTTCAGCAAAGCACGGGTGGGTCCGAGCCTCCCTCACCAACCCCATTATTGTGGTTTTTAACCAAGAAACGCCGTGCTGGGCACTGGGAGGGTTCAGCTCTCAGGGAAATGTCCCAGGTTTGTGACAGTGACACCGTGGGGACACCGCTGGCCTCGGGGGACTCTCGAGGTGCCTGCTTGTCCTTTATTCTCCGGGCTTTGCTGCCACCAGCTGGAACAATTAATTCTTGTTACAAATTACTCTCAAGGCCGGGTTTTTTCCTCTCCCAGATGCGCTCTGCCACCACACCAGGGTTTATCCGCTGTGGGCACATCCAGGCCTGGGGTTCAGATGGGATTGGGGGTCAGCTGGGAGGAAAATCCTGCTGATCCAGGGAGAGAAAATGAGCTGGGGATTTTAAAAGGATAGCAGAGGAAGGGATAAGGGGGCTGGAAGAAGCCAGGGAGGTGTTGGGGGTGAATTCCCTGCACTTGGCCATGGGCACAGACTGGTGGCCCTGCTTTAAGGACACATAGAAAATAAAACTAGACACAATTTCAAGAAATCACCCCGTCCCTTTCTCTTCCTGTCAGCTGAGCTGCAGCAAAACGACTTCAATCGAAGCCATTTCAGGTTTCCTGTGGTTAAACGGGCGTCACTGCGCTCCTGCAGCTGCCGAGACCCTGCCACCCTCCCCAGCCCCGGCCATCCCTGGGTCACCTCGGGGAAAGGGCCAGGCTGAGCCCTCAGTCAGGCTCTGGAGGCTTTTCCACCCGTGGCTGGGAAAATGAACTCAGCAGGAATTAAGGGATAATTAGGAGTGGAGTTTGTGCGCAGGCTGGTGAGGTGGTGTCGGTGTTGGGATGCCGCACACGCTGGTGAACTCTCAGACCTTTGGAGGCTTTGTTTGGTGAGGATGGAGCCTTTGGAAACATCCAGGCCAGCCTGGAGTAATTCCTGACAGTGGGGCCTTGATGCTGAGCCGGTCACGGTGAAGCCGGAGTCAGCAGGGACAGGAGCGGCCCCGCTCTGCCCGGTGCAGGCAGCAGAGGGCCTTGAGTCCCACATCCCGCCCTGCATCCCACCCTGCATCCCACATCCCGCCCTGCATCCCACCCTGCATCCCACATCCTGCATCCCATCCTGCAT